AGCCTTGAAATTTAAACGAGCCCTATTCGTAGCTATTAATTGCTATTCTCTAACGACATGTCGTTGATAAAGAGCGCCAATCTTATATAGTGAAACTTTGTCTTCGTGATTCTTTTACAGGCGCTTGCTCGCTCTGCTTCATCTTCATCCGTCCATGGCTTCTCTTCCTTTCAGACTGCTTCCTCGTTCTTTCTCCATCTCCAAATCTGAAACCCTAGGAATATCTCTGCGTGCTTCGTCTACTGGTTCTCTCGCAATCTCTACAACTTCGTGTCCTTCTTCAATTCCTGCTGGTATGTATTTGTTAGCTTGATTCAAGTGTTTTCGTTTCTTCTGTTCACTTTCGATCGCTTAATTTCTGTTCTGTGTGTTGCTTTTTCGGTGTATTGTGGTTGAGGCGATAAGAAAACGGAGAAAGGAAAGCGGTTCAAGCACTCGTTCGGAAATGTATGTGTCTCATCTACTCTCTTCGTTTTCTTCGATTCTTTTTCTGACTGTGAGTTTCTCTTTTGTCTTCGATGTGTTCTCTTTCGTTTTTTGTTTTGATTTCTTTTCGGGGGGAGGAATGATCAGGCAAGGCCTCGGAACAAGACGAAAGGGAGAGGGACGCCGAGAGTACGAACTCCTCCTTCTCCGCCTAGGAAGGTTAAATTTGATGGCGATGAGAAAATCAAGATCGAGATTGATGAGTCTCTTTTCTCTAGATAATCTTGGAGCATTCTAATTCTGTTTATTTGAATGTGTTTTTAAATTCAGAAGGTACTTCCACTTCTTATATTCGCATTATTCTTTTATAAATTTTTCAGCCACTCATTAGCTTCTTGAATCTGTTGTTCGTTTTCAGTCTACTCGAAGGATCGTCTCTCTCTCTCTCGCCTCCTCTTGCTTTTAATCATTTCCGAGGAAGACTCTGAGTTTTGCTGCTTCATAGATAATCTTTGCGTCACTATCAGGCGTTTGTTTCAAAGGGAATATAAGTAATCTTCCTCACTTCATCTTATCGAAAGCTAGAGTTGAGCTATTTGAGATTAACGTTAGATTCAAAAAGAGTCTACTAGCTCCTTTTGATTTTACAAGTTTCTTTCCAATTGTCTTAGTTTGGTTTTACAAGCAAGCCTCAATTGCTTGTTCATCTGCTAAGTTCTGAGCGGAGTTTGGGACGATTTATCCATTACTCTCAAAGTAATAGACTAACAGAGATTACCTAGTTTATTGCACATCATACTTTTAAAAATATAAACAAAGAGAAGTTACAACCTCGGATAGACTGTTTCCTATGACAAACAAACGGTGAAGTAATCTTTGCCGGCTTTTGCAAATGATATATTTCTTAATTCGATTTCAGCCGTCTGTGTTGCTTTTTATATGTGTTTTGGAGGTTTCTAATGTCTCTCTAAAGATAGAAAATGTCTTTCCTGATTCATCAGTATCAGCCAAAGCCTTTTAGATAGCTATGTCAGTATCAGAGGTAACTGAGGAGGAAGAAGAGGTATCGAAGTTCATTGATCCTGAAGTCCAAAAGGAAAGAATCCGACAAATACTCAAGTACCAGAAATCTGTGTATTCTTCATCTTCATCTTCATCTTCATCTTCATCTTCTTCTATCTCAACCTCGGCATCATCTTCCAGAAGCTGTAGTTTACTAGACTTGATGAAAGCAGGAAACACTTCTCTCAGGAGATTATTTGACATGCAGCATACTAGTTTGGCCACCTATTTTGATAAGTACAGTGGATCACCCACGATAAAGCCTATACCGTTATGGGGCAGTGATTCTGATGTAGAAATCTGTGATGCTTGGGCATCCATCAAGATCGGACTCTCACATGATTCTAGGTCTCGCGGAACTAATTGCACATCAAATGGTGTTTTCATGGACAGAAACACAGGGCTTCGGAATAGCACGGTAAGGGTTAACAAACACAAGTTAACTAGGAAAAAGTCATTTCGGAAGCTACCTGGATTTGGTCTGCTATGGAGAAGCGGAAGATTTAGAGTCCGGATCAGGTGGAGACGACTTCGAATTATGATATGTGGTAAAATATTCTAATGTTGACTAGAATTGTTTACTAATCTGTGATGTTTAAATTATAAGGAATTTTTGCTCTAGATGTCTTCAGTACAACACCCCTGTCGGCAAATCTCCATGTTATATTGACTAATCTTGAGATCTGCCCGTAGGCCCCAGCTCCGGCTAGTGAATTCGACAGTGATGACTGGTCATTTCTGCCTATCAAGGTATTTCAATGGAAAGCTAGAATTGGGTCCATTTGGCCCTATTTTGATATTACAGCTGCGATTTGACCCTAGCTGATCAAACCGATCCTAATGTACCTTGATTGAGTGGTTCTGAAATATTTTCAGTGGTGCCGCTTGATACTCCGATAGCACACCACCTAGTGTCTGGCTTTGATACTATTTGTGACAGTCCAATCCTCGTTGTCTGGCTTTGTTATCATTTGTAACAATCCAGTTCTCGCTGGCACACCACCTGTGTCTTTTGTAACAGTCCAGTGCACGCTGGCACACCACCTGTGTCTTTTGTAACAGTCCAGTGCACGCTGGCACACCACCTGTGTCTGGCTCTGATATCATCTGTAACAGTCCAGTCTTCGTTGGCACATCATCTGATCCTTTCGGTGGGCCCTCACTGGCACACCACCTAGTGTCTACGGATAATATCTCACTGGCACACCACCCAGTGTCTACAGATAATATCAATATCTGCTCGTCTAGAGAGAGATTTTCACACGTCTTTTAGAGAGAGATTTTCACATTTATTTTTCACATTTTGATTTATTTCTCTTTTTAAAATGTCTTTTAGAGAGAGATTTTCGGTCTTTTAATACTTTGATTTATTTCTCTTTTTTGATTTATTTCTATTTTATAAATGAGTATTAGATTTTCACACTTTGATTTATTTCTCTTTTTAAAATGTCTTTTAGAGAGAGATTTTCAGTCTTTTAATACTTTGATTTATTTCTCTTTTTTGATTTATTTCTATTTTAAAAATGAGTCTTTTAGAGAGAGATTGAGAGATTTTCACGTCTTTTCACACCTTGATTTATTTCTCTTTAATCAATGTGCAATCTCGCAACATGTGAATGATAGTGCTGTCTTTTCACACCTTGATTTATTTCTCTTTAATCAATGTGCAATCTCGCAACATGTGAATGATAGTGCGGCAAAGAGCATCCCATCTGAGGCATCTTCGAACGTTGATGCTTCTCCAAATGGGCGATTTTGTTGAAAGCATCCCTTTTTTAAAATGTGTTGTGGCAGGCAATTGTTCTCTTGTTTTGAACTTCCCGACACACTTTCAATCTTCTCGAGATCGAAGTGGTCGAGAGAAGACCAACCGGTCCAATTTTGGCAGTTTCAATCTTTTTAGAGTTTTTTCCTACGTAATATTTGTTAAATTTAAGATTTCTCTTCAGTATTTTTAAATGCACGGCTAGGGAGAGCTTTCTCTTCTATATTCTTAATCTCTTCCATACTTTTAAATGCACTTTCCAATCGATATAGAATCTCACAATTATTTACTAGCGATGAGTTTGAAAGGTTGCATCCAATCCATCTAAAAAGGGAACATGCCTAAGGACGCAGAAGCTAAAAAGACTATTTTCATCACTTGAGTAACAACACAGTAATTGAAGTCGTCGTATGTCCAAGAGGCCAAAAGAACAAGACAGACACGATGGCCAGTGGCCAGCGTTTTGGAAGGAAGGCGCGGTAAGAAATAGGACTGAGTGGACCCAAAAAATTTACAGCCCATATTTTTCAAAAACAGAAAAAAAAAAAAAAAAAAAAAAAAAAAAAAAAAAAAAAAAAAAAAAAA